AAGCGCCCCGGGGGCCGGGAGCCCTGCGTCTTGCCTCCCCAAGCATCCTGGGACCCCCGAAGCCCCCCTTTCCCTGCTCTGTGTAGACACCGAAGGGTGGGTGGAGGCGGGCCGGTGGGCTCCGGGGTCTCTGGCAGAGAGGAGAGCTCCAGGCCTCTGGAAAACTTGGGTTGACACTTGTGTCTCTTCCCTGGGGCCATGAGGACGAGAAGGCGCCCCCCCCACCAAGGCTGCTAGAGGCCCAGGCTGGCAGAGGGACTGGGCCACCAGCTGGGTAGGACCCTCCGGGTCGCCTGCCCTCTCGGGAGGGGGACTCGGGCCAGAGCCGAGCCTCACTGGAAACTGGAGGGACAGCGGGGACTGAGGGCTCCATCTTTGGTTCCTTTCCTCGGATGCAATGCGCGTTCCGTGTTTAAAGGCAATTTCTTCACTTCAAAAGGATTCCAGCTGCCTAAATTTGAGGTGAAGCATAAGGCCCTGGTCGAGCCGCTTCCCAGGGCCTTTCAGTTTTCACTGGCTTGAGACCGGGATGCATTTAACAGTGTTTGCCTCTTGATGCTTGTCAGAGCGCCGAGGGAGAAACGCTTCCTCTCCCTGGACACCCCTCACGCTCAGCCAGGGCTGGCACAGGAACCATCCACGTTTTCCTGCACTATTTTGTCTTCTCGTGGAACCTCCTGACGCCCTCTCTTTCTCTCCCCACTTTCCCTCCCACCCCCAGGCTCATACCCATGCTGGGGGGAAGGAGACAGCCCTGCTGCCCTGGGGTCCGCTAGGCTCAGCAGCTCGTCTTCTAATGCCCCAGCGGCTTAAAGAGCCAACGGTTGGGTTGACACAGCTCATAGCTCACACTCCAGGAGATGCTCTTCCACCTGCCATTTATTCATACATTCACGTATTCATTCATTCATTCACCAACTCATTCACTCACCTGGTTGCCCAGGAAGCTATCGTGGGATCTGTGATGCTTTAAGAGGTTATGGCTGATTCAAAGAAATACAACACGGACGTGCTTGAAGCTATGAGAGAGATGGATGAGCCGCTACGGTACAAGACAGAAGGAAGTAAACACCCAGTTCATAGGGTAGGAGATAGTTAAGAATGTCAGAAAAAGAAAGGACCCCCAGCCAGGGATGTGAGTGGAGCCCAGAGGGAGGCAGTCAGAGGGGGCTTCCTGGAGGGGGAAGCATTTGGATGGGGGCAGGATGCAAAGATACCAAGCAGCCCCATGTACAAAGGTGTGGAGATGGGAAGACCTCTGATGAGCATCAGCGTGTCGTCCCATGCCCGCTGCATCCCGCCTTCCAGGGCATCGGGGCTTGTTTGGGGGCTTCCTGGGCATGTCCACTGGTATTCACTGTTTCAGCAGCACTGCTTTACTCACACAGCCAGCTACCAACTTGTGCCCCTTTTCCATCAGGCCCCAGGCCCGGGGGAAATGCCTTCAGGCTTCTCTAAGAGCTCAGGCTCCTCCCCCCCCATTCTTGAGGGACCGAGACAGCACCCACTTCTTCTCCAGCTTTACCAGGGGCTCTCTCTCTACAGGGGCTTGTTCCCTCCACCCACTGAGGGAAGCTGCAACCACCACCTTCCTTAGCAAGGCTGACAAATCCCGTGACTTTTCATGGTTGGACAGTGTCCGTCTATTTCCACTGGGATTGATAAGAGGGTCAGACGTATACCTGAAGCTGTCGGGGGCCATCTTTATCACCACAAAGAAAGAGTTTATTTAAAAATAAAAGCAGCACAGAAAAAAAAAAAAAAAGCAGTCAAGAGACAGGTAGATGGATTCCTAGTGACATCAAGCACTTGGGTCCAGCCATGCCTGAAGCTGTCCCTGGAGTTTTCCATTTTGTGAACCAATAAGTTCCCCTCCTCTTTTGACTTAAGCCAGATTGAGTTGGCCTTTTGTCAGTTGCTACTAAGTCTTGACTAAAGAAATACTTACCTTGCAGACTCAGTGAGAGAATTAAATGGAGTGAAGTGGCACTCAATGCCTGGTAACTTTTGCGAATTCTGACTAAATTTACCTTCTCAGAGCTCTGTGAAATTTCCATAAAGTTCTACAGTAGTAGAATAATACTTTTTCATTCTTCCCACGGTTTCCATCAAACCTTCCCTTGTGAAATCATGACTCTCCCACCTTGGCTTTCTTGACCACCGCTGTGTCCTCTATATTCTAGACCCGTCTTCTCCGCCCCACCCCTGGGCTGAGACTGGATGGACTTGTTAACAATTGGAGATTTCAGAACATGCCTGGGCCGATATCAGCTCCGTCTTATGTACCCATACCCCAGGACAACCAGGGTCAACGAAACCCAGCCAAACCCAAGACTCGGAACTGGTTTCAAATCCCCGCCATGGAGGACATCAGGTGCTCAGAAAGTCTACACCGCCATCTAGTGGACGTGTGCCGCAACAGCAGCACACGGAAGGGAGCCCTTTGCAGGGAATACCCTTGGGACAGCTGCTGGCCCCTGACAAGCACCCGGCCCTCACTCCATTCGTGAAAAACCCAAGGACAAGCGAATTAATGGTGAAGTCGAGAGTCCTGTCCCACGGGGTAGCATATACTCTCTCCTGAGGGACTGGGGTCCCGCCCCGCGTCTGTGGCCCTGCATCTCCTATCCTGAGTTAGACTCACAGAGGCCGTCATTTCTCTGTTCCTCTCAGCTCTCCACGGGTGTGACCCAGGTCAAGGGTCTGCAGGGAGGAGGGCCAGCATGCACACACGTGTGTGTGCACGTGTGCATATGTGTGTGTGTGTGTGTGTGTGTGTGTGTGTGTGTGTTTGCTCAACTTTCCAAAGGAAAGATTTTTCCGGCCGGGTGTGGTGACTCAAGATTATAATCCCAGCACTTTGGAAGGATGAGGCCAGAGGATTGCCTGAGCCCGTGGGTTCGAGACCAGCCTGGGCAACATGGTGAGACCTCATCGCTACAATAAATCAAAAAATTAGTCGGGCGCAGTAGTGCACGCCTGTAGTTCCGGCTACTTGGAAGGCTGAGGCAGAAGGATCGCCGGAGCCCAGCAGGTCGAGGCTGCGGTGGCCAGGAACGTGTCACTGCACTCCAGCCTGGGCAACAGAGTGAGACTCCAACTCAAAAAAAAAAAGGAATGATTCATCATGTTTGCAAACGGGACACTCTATCAAGGCCTCATGATCTCAGCCTCATACATTGTGAGACATATCAGTCTCTGTGCTTTCTGATGGCAGCAAACACATCTACCCCTCCACAGCCAAACAGCCCTGGCGCTGCCACCCTCCGGAGCGTGCTGCCTTGCCACGCAGATGCTGTCTTCTGCCAGCCTGATGGGAGCAGCACCCAGAGCGGGGGAGAACCCCTGCGGCTCCTCCCTGCCACCCTGAACAGAAAGTCGGTCTTGATGTGTGCGCTTGGTCACGTTCCGACCACAGCCCTCCCATCTCCAGGCATTTGTGACCTGGGTCCTGACCACACTCCCAGTCCTTGTACCTCCATTGACACTCATACCTCCTGCAAACACAGCAGGAAGCAAGAAGACAACCGATGCTCTGGGGGTTCGGTCTGCCTGGGGAGTCAAGGAAGAAAGAAGTGATGACCAGAAGACCAGAGCGGCTCCCCAAGAACATGCTTTAGCTGCTGGGAGCAGTGGCAGCCAGCTTCCCACCACCACAACCCTTTCTGCAGGCTTTTCAGACCCCAATTCAAGGGAAGTTTCCAGAACAGGATGGTAGTAATCCCTCCTGAGTAAAAGAAATAGTTATTTCTAATCCTAACATGCCTTGGTCTTCTATGTTAGTTAGACAGTGCTGGGCAAAAGAAGAGCGTGTCTCATGTTGTCACAACCAAGCATCAAGATGTACCGACCTCTGCTTGTGAATCCTACCTGGGAAGCTTTGCCCTGTTACTCACTGACTCTTGTCTGGCTCAGAAGACCATTTGGAAGGCCCAGCCACCCCGCACCTCGAGAGAGGACACTTCCTCTCTTCCTTATCTCTGCTGGCTCCAAAGCACACCCCGGCCGGTCTCCATGGTGACTCTGTAGACCCAAGCTCAGGGCCTCAGGGATGGCAGGGGTAATGGGGGACGAGAAGCGTCCTGGGCAGAGTGGCCCCTGACCACCACCAAAGCTGCCAGCCTGCAGTCTTCCTGCAGGCCGCGGCCACGTGGTGCCATCGGGCCCGACCCAGACGGCTCTGCACGTGGCTTCAAGTCACCCAGGTGAGCGACCTCAGAGGGACATTCATGCACTCCCAGTTCTCCCTTTCAGGCCAGCCCATCTCACTCACGTCCACGGCCCTCGGGTACTTGACGACGGGCTTGGGCCACTGGGTGATCTTCTGTCTGTACCCGTTGCAATCAGGAACAATCTTGCAGCTGATGTCCCCCATCTCTGGGTAGCTAACTTGAAGTTCCCTGTGGAGGGAGGGAGGAGGTCACCCTGTGTGAGGGTTTAGGGTTCAGTCTGGCACTATTAGGAATGTGGCTCAGCCTGTAATCTCAGCACTTTGGGAGCCCGGGGGTTCGAGACCAGCACGGGCAACTTGGCGAGACCTCGTCTCTACAGTGAAATAAAAAATCAGCCAGGTGCGGGAGCAGATGCCTGTAGTTCCAGCTACTTGGAAGGCTGGTAGAAGGATTGTCAGAGTTCAGCAGGTCCACACTGGGGTGCCCGTGAGTGTGCCACTGTACTCCAGTCTGGGCGACAGAGTGAGACTTCGACTCAAAAAAAAAAAAAAGCAGTGTGAAATCAAATGGGATTGCATCTTAAATCTGCCATTAACTAACTGGGTGACCCGAGAGTGACTTGACCTCTTTGGTTTCCTCAGCTGTAAAACAAGGACACTAACTCATAGGGTGGGTGTGAGGAGTAAAGTGTGGTCTGTGTTTGGAACAGAGCCAGGGACATTGAAAGTGATCAGAAAGTGTTAACAACCACCAGTATTCATGTCCAAGAGGACTATACCTCCTTGGGCAAACTTGGGCAGGATCTTTAAAGTAGGACTGAGTTTATAAGAACAATATGAATATATTGCTTTAGGAACATTCTTATTACAGAAAGAAAGGTTTAGCAAGTAGTCATAGCCTCAGTCATGGGCAGAGACTTCTCTCTCCTCTAAACAATCAAGAGCGCCCCATGCCTGAAGTCCCATCATTAGTGGAAAAAATTACTTTTCTTTGGATTAAGCATTGCCCATAGCCTGGGTTCTCCTTAAAAATGCAAATAATTAACCAGGCGTGGTAGCACATGCCTGTAGTTCTAGCTACTTGGAAAGCTGAGGCAGAAAGATCACTGGAGCCCAGCAGGTCGAGGCTGTGGTGGCTGTGAGCGTGCCACTGCACTCCAGCCTGGGCAACAGAATGAGACTCCGACTCAAAAAAAAAAAAAAGCAAATATTGGTCAGGTGTGGTGGCTCATGCCTGGGATCCCTGCACTTTGGGAGGCTGAAGTGGAAAAATTGTGCCCAGGAGTTTGAGACCAGCTGGGCAACCTAGCAAGATCTCTTTTCTATCACCAAAAAAAAAAAAAAAAAAAAAAAAATTATAGGCCGGGCACAGTGGCTCATGCCTATAATCCCAGCACTTTGGGAGGCCGAGGTGAGAGGATTGCCTGAGCCCATGGGTTCGAGACCAGCCTGGACAACTTGGCAAGACCTCATCTCTACAATAAATCAAAAAAATTAGCCAGGCATTGTGGAATATTCCTGTAGTTCCAGCTACTTGGAAGGCTGAGGCAGAAGGATCGCCTGAGCCCAGCAGGTCAAGGCTGCAGTGGCCACGAGTGTGCCAATGCAGTCCAGCCTGCACCAGGAGTGAGACTCCAACTCAAAAAAAAAAAAAATTATGAACAATACAAATATCCCTCAGGGGAAAAACATCTACTCGAAAAGACTGTAGTCTATTTCCCCCAGCACAGGTATTCTGAGAATCTGGTTTCCTGGAAGAGAGACAAAAGGATGTGGAACAAGGAGACAGAGGCTGCAGCATGGGACAAGCCTGGCAAATCCAGCGGCACCAGGGTTGGCCTTAGGGGCTCACCTGTGTTTGACACTCAGAAGTGTAAGCCAGACCTTCAAATCGATATTTAAAATTTTTTTTTCACTTGCCCTTTTGTTGTATTTGATCGCCAAGACCCAGGGTCTCTGGGGCATTCATTTGATGAGGACGATTCACTGAGAGAGATGGGGAAAAGTCACTGCTTGCTGAGCGCTTTTGTTTCTTTGAACTCTTTGCGCGTTTACAGGGATCCTTCTGGATGGCATGGTGTCCACACTTTTTGAAGAAGTTTTAGGGATGGGTTTTCATTTCTCTTCACAGCAGCCCTTTAAGGGCCATTTGGTCTGTTTCTGCCATAGCCCCCGGCCGCCACAGTTGGCGAAAGGTGAGGTGGAGACCCTCTGTGGGCCAGAGACGGACAGTCAACACATAGCACAGAGCTGGGAAAAACCGGGGGAGGGATAGGGAGGAGGTAAACTGAGGGTGGAGAACCTTCCCACACCCACAATGGATCTCTCCTTTTCATCCTGGTTTGGAATTGCTCCATGTGGTAAAAAAAAGTTAAACAAGCGAAATCAGCAAACTGATATTTGGTGAGTGAACCGAGAGCCACAGAGAGTTCCCTGTTAGGACAGGGCACATGCCAGGGGATCAGCAATCCTGTCTCTGTCCCCCTTGTCACAGCCAGCCCAGGGCTTGATGATAGCATATCGCCCCACACAGCAGGACGTGCCGGACGGCACATGCAGGCCGCTGTCCTGCCCAGCAGCGTGATCAAAGGCTGGGAGAGGGACACCAAACTTGCAGATGGCTCAGAGCTGGTGACAACTCAGACAACCAACTCGGCCTACGAGAAGATCTGGACAAGCCCACGGTGAACCGGAACAAAAATTAAAGTAAATGAGAATACACTTTAAAAACTTGAATTCAAGTCCAAAAACCTCAAAGGAGCCACCGTCTCGTGAGCCCCTGCTTGCTGCTTGTGGTTGCCTAACATGGGACGTGTTCTAATTTCCATTCTGACATTTTGGGGACCTCCCAATCCTTCTTGACAAGACTTGAAAAGTTCAAGTCTAGGCACGGTGGCCTGTCATCCCAGCATTTTGGGAGGCCGAGGTGAGCGAATTGCCTGAACCCAGGGGTTGGAGAACAGCCTGGGCAACTTGGTGAGACCTCGTCTCTACAGTAAAATTAAAAAATCAGCTGGGCATGGTGGTGTATGCCTGTAGTTCCAGCTCCTTGGAAGACTGAGGTGGAAGGATCACCTGAGCCCGGCAGGTTGAGGCTGCAGTGGCTGTGAGCATGCCACGGCAGTCAGCCTGGGTGACAGAGTGAGACTCCAACTCAAGAAAAAAAAAAAAGAAAAGAAAGAAAAATTTCGGGTCCCTGGTCTCAGCTTTGCCATTAACTACCTCTGCATAAGAAACTGGGGCAAGGGAAGGGCATTTAGGGGGCCACCCCAGCAGACCAAGTGCGTCACATACATATTATCTCAGTTAATGCAACAGTACCTTGAAGCAGCTGTTACTATTAAGCTCCTCTCCCAGACTAGTAAACTGAGAAAGTCCGGGACAATACACATTTGCAGCTGCTAAGTGTTGGGATCATTTGTTGTGAGCAGCAGAAAACTAATCCAGCAGGCCTGTTCACACTTTCCCAGTGCCACGCACTTTCCTCGCGAGTCGTTTTGTTTCTCCAGGCTTCAGTTTGAGCAAGTCTCTTTGTCACGGCTCTCTGTGAAAGCGTGGGATGTCACGTTTAAAAAGAGCATACCCGGCTGGGTGCGGTGGCTGAAGCCTGTAATCCCAGGGCTTTGGGAGGCTGAGGCAAGAGGATGTTCAGGGTCCACTTATCAGTGAGACCGTGTGATACTTGGTTCTTTGGTTCTGTGATAGATCATTCAGTACTTTAGACTCTTAAGCCCATCCAAGTTGCTGCGAAGTTCATAATTTTGTCCTTCTTCGTGGCTGTGTAATATTCCATCGTGTATGTGTACCACATTTCAAAAAAAATCCAGTCCTCTTTCCATGGGCAGCACGGTTGCTTCCATGTTTTTGCTGTTGTGAATGATGCTGCAATAAACATGCATGTGCAGGTATCTTTTTCATAGAGTGATTTGAGTTCCTCTGGGTATATTCCCAGAAGGGGGATTGTGGGGTCGTATGGAAGGTCGATTTTTAGATCTTTTAGGAATCCCCACACTGCTTTCCACCAACATGTAGAAGTGTTCCCTTTTGGCCACATCCTCTCCAGCATCTGTGGTTTTTTGAGTTTTTGATGATGGCCATCCTGACTAGAGTTAGGCAGTATCTCAGCATGGTTTTGATTTGCATTTCTTTGATGACTCGTGAGACTGAGCATTTTTTCATGTATCTGTTGGCTGCCCGTATGTCTTCTTTTGAGAAGTATCTATTCATATCTTTTGCCCACTTTGTAATAGGGCTGTTCATGTTTTTTCTTTTTGGTATGTTTGAGTTCCTTGTGGATCCTAGATGTTAGGCCTTTGTCAAACATACAGTTGGCAAATATTTTTTCCCAGTCTGTGGGCTGTCTCCCACTCTCACAATAGTTTATTTTGGCCTTGTAGAAGCTTGTCGGTTTGATGAGGTCCCACTTGTCTATCTTATCTCTTATGGCATGGGCATCTGGGGTTTTGATCAGGAATTGGTTGCCAGTTCCAATTTCCATAGGGGTGTCTCCTGCATTTTCTAAGGTTCTTATAGTTTGAGGTTTTATGTTTAGATCTTGGATCCATTTAGAGTTGATTTTTGTGTTTGGTGACAGGTAGGGGTCTTGTTTTAATCTTCTGCATGGGGTCAGCCAGTTTTCCCAGCACTATTTACTAAATAGGCTCTCTTTTCCCCAGTGGTTGATGGTGGAGGCTTTGTCGAAGATGAGTTGGTTGAGAAATTGAGGTTTTGCTTCCAGAATCTCTGTCCTGTTCCGTTGGTCTATCTGCCTGTTCTTGTACCAACATCAGGCTGTTTTGATTATTATAGCTTTAAAATAAAGCTTAAAGTCTGGGAGCGTGATGCCTTCTGCTTCATTTTTGTTTTTGAGTTGGATTCTCACTCTGTCGCCCAGGCTGGAGGGCAGTGTCGTGCTCCCAGTCACCGCGGCCTCGGACTGCTGGGCTCCGGCGATCCTTCCACCTCAGCCTTCCAAGTAGCTGGAACGATAGGTGTGTGCTACCACACCAAGCTTATATTTTGATTTATTGTAGAGATGAGGTCCCACCAAGTTGCCCAGGCTGGTCTTCAACCTGTGGGCTCAGACAATCCTCTCACCTCAGTTTCTCAAAGTGCTGGGATTATAGGCGTGAGCTACTGTGCCCTGCTTGCTTTGTTTTGTTTTGTTTTTGCTGAGATTGTTTTGGCTATTCATGGTCGTTTATGTTTCCATATGAATTCCTGTATGTTTCCAGGTCTGAGAAGAATGCTGCTGGTAATTTAATGAGTATTGCGTTGCATTAAATCTGTAGATTGCCTTGGGTAGGGTGGACATCTTAACAATGTTAATTCTTCCAATCCATGAGCATGGAATATTTTTCCATTTGTTTATGTCATCTTTGATTTATTTGAGCAGTGTTTTGTAGTTTTTGTTGTAAAGGTCTTTGGTTTCTCTGGTTAGGAAAATACCAAGGTATTTCATTTTTATGTGTGGCTAGTGTGAATGGGATTGTGCTTTTGATTTGGGTTTCTGTTTGAGGTGTTGATGTATAGGAATGTAAATGGCTTTTTCACATTTATTTTGTAACCTGGGACTTTGCCAAAGTCCTTTATCAGTGCAAGGAGGTTTTTGACAGATTCTTTTGGGTTTTCGAGGTATAGAATCATATGGCCTGCAAAGAGGGATAACTCAACTCCTCTTTTCTTATTTGGATACCCCTGATTTCCTTCTCTTGTCTTACTGCTCTAGATAGGACTTCCAATACTATGTTGAACAGGAGGGATGAAAGCAGGCATCCTTGTCTTGTTCCAGTTTTCAGTACAAAAGATTATCAGAGATTACTATGTACACCTGTATGGAAATAGATTCGAAAACCTAAATTAAATGGATAACTTTCTTACATCACACAACCTTTCCAGGTTGAAACAAGAAGAAATCAAGACCGTAAATAGATCAATAACAACTCAGGAAAT